GAGAAGACTAATTCCCCATAGGCCGCCTCTCTAGGGATCGAGATGCTGAGTAGAGGAAAACACAAGTTCAAATTGACCTATAAGCCTGGCCTAATAGTGTTAAATGGCTACCCTGGGGGATGAGACAAGACATAATTCATTTGTATGAATGAATCTCCAAACTAGGGTCCGGTGGTGGGACTTAACCTCAACCTCTCCACATTACAAGCAATTATGGAGATTTTGGAGATAATCGTGAAAGTGCTATCCCCCTGTGCTCCTGCCCCTGCTTTCCAAAGCCAGATTAGAGGAGATTAAGACACAAAGAACAAGGAGCTTCCCAATGTGATGCCACATTCTGCTGCTGAATGAACTTCCACTGCCATGCTCTAAACTCTGTGTAAAGCTAATTTCAAAGTGTGTACGCGCAGATTCGTGGTACTTTAACAGGTCCTCCTCCCTTACCTGTATCAACAGAGGGCCTTGGTTGTATTTGTTCCACATCTGGGCAAACGGTGTATTTATTCTTCTGTTTACTACAAATTAATAGAAAACTACCAAGAAAGACAAAACTTCAGGCTGGGCTCACTCTTTTTGAAGAGTTCTTTAAAATGACATTGAACTATTTGATGGTCAGTATCCGTGGGACTCCAACAAATCACTTTGTGGAGTTAAAGCTAGTTGCATAATGGTCTTTCTGCCCAACGAGATTTCTGTTCAGGTTTATAAAAGCTCAGTGAAAATGTATTAAAGTTTCTTAATTAAGGTGAGTTATCCAGTTTTTTTCCTCACTTAATCTGCATGTAGAAGAAAACACAACTCTTGAGTTTTATTTATTTATTGTCCTATTTGTTTTCGGTAACTTGGCAGACATACTGAGCAGGAAAATGATTTCTGACCAAAATGTTTTCCTGTGGCTAGCTGACCTGACAAAGATCCACCACCCCCGCCCCCGACTCATACCTCCTCCCACACTTAACAGGTCTTCTTCATTGTCCTTTGTTCTCAGTAAGTGTCTGTATCCAGTGTACTTTTCTATCAAATCATGTAACTTCCTCAACCAATGAATTGATGATAAATGCCTTGAACTGATGATGAATGCCTTGCTTCTGTATGCCCATCCCCTTCCCTTAACCCATATAAAAACCCTGTTCTCTGCCAGCTCCGGGCGTTTTGTGGAGAAATCCCGATCAGGCCGCTAGAATAAACTTGCCTCCAACTTCCAGGTATGTTTTCGAATCTTCTTGGCCTGATTTTGCTATACCACTAAGAGCTGCCACACTGTGGACTGTAAACCTGCCGTTACAGTACTAATCTCCAGGTGCTTGAATAGGCTTTTCTGACATAAAAACCTACTTTTCCTCTCCAAAACTGCTGAGAGGAAAAGCCTCAAGATTATATCTAGATCAATGTAAACCACTAGATTGCCTATCTAATATTTCTTTTTCTGTAGAAAATCACAGAAGGAATAAGTAACAAGAGGTAAGATTTAGACAATCTGGTCATAGACAAAATTGTGCAATCCCAGTTCCTGATTTACTTTACAGCATATTCACCCAGCTCAGCCCCCCACAATACCCAGGAAAGGATTGCAAATTTTTTTCAGTACTGGGTACTGAACTAGAGTCTTCGCATCAAGGGGCATGCCCAGCCCTTTTTCCTTCTTGTTTAGAGACAAGGGCTCGCTAAATTGCCCAGGCCGAACTCAGATTTACGATCCTCCCGCCTCAACCTCCCAGGGTGGTGGGATTATAGGCATTCTCCACCATGCTGGCTGGAAAGGCAAACTTTTATATGCTCAAACCAACCAAGAAGCTCACAAACGTGAGACCGAGTGGCTCATATTCCCTCCAACCTCCAGCGACCCCAGCTGGGTGCGAAAACACACACTAAGGACACGTGTTCTTCTCGCCAAGCTCCGCCTCGGGAAGCGGAGTTCACACAACCCCGCCCATCCAGGCCTCACCAATCGCGTCCAGAAATGGGCCAGGTCCCGCCCCACGGAGGGGCCGGCCGGCCGCCTTTGTTCTTGCCCGCTCCCTCTCTCGGCCTGTGCGCTGTGCGCAAACCGAGTGGCAGCCGTTGATTGGTGGTCATGGCGCAGCCAATCAGAAGGGGGCACCTCACTTTAGGGCTCGGAGTTTTAAACGTGCGGCCTAGGGGCTCGCGCAGGGCCTGGGCTGTGAGGTGGGCTTGCCCGAGACCGAGGAGCGGCGGCATCTGGAACACCTGGCGTCGCGCGGGGATTGGCCG